GCGGTTCATACTCAAAATAACATCCATGGTAAAATATTACATTATCCATGATCAATGCATTATCATTTCACACTATGACATATCAGTCATATCGAAGTTATAAAAATGACATATTATCATCCTGATTTAAACAAGGTCGACTTATCGCAAGTCTTCCTGATGATGTATAAAACATCTATGTACCATGTCATGCATGTATTGCACTCACCTTTATACATTATATATCCAAAAGATGTGCCTCACTACGATCCATAATAAACCATTTTATATTATACTTGTTTCGAGCACAAATCAATCATGATCTGCACAAAACACTAATTCATAACAATACATATGTTAGTATTGTACTAACATAAACATATCCCAAAATTAAATCCATAATATACTTGAAACTCATTTTCTACCAAAATATTTAACACTTAATAATCCCTTTTAACATTGGCATCAACATTTCCAATTTACACAAAATGGTCATTCACCATTTTATCACATAGATTCTTAATACCAAAATTCCATCACTGAAATTACCATTCCAGTGCTTTTACAAAGGCATAACAACATTTAATTACCCCAACTATACGAATGATGTACTTAAATCACCAATCTTTTCAAACTTCAAAAATATTCATATTTCACATCTAAACACTCATTTCAATTCCAAAATAGTAATTTCCAGTATAGTACATCAACTATTAAACAATTATACAACCATTCACAACTTTTTTAAAATTATTGAATTGGTCCCCTAACTTTTCAAAATTAATAAAATGGTCCTCAAATTTTTCTAAGGCTTGTAGAATACTTCATACATCATTTCCAGCACTTATATAATTTTTTCATAATTTTTCTTACTCAAATACCTCATGGCCAAACACTTTATCCTTCAAAACTATGTTTTCATGATTTTGCTTGATTTTGATTCGATTCAAGCATGAAATCAACTTCCAATCAACCTTACAATAGCACTACAATCAAATCCCTAATAAAATCTCATCAAAACACCAAGTTCTACAATTTCTTCGTTAGACCGAAAATTATAGAATCATTTCTAAGAAGTTTGAACATGTTTTAATCATAATTCATGCTTGAAAATGAATCTACAACCTAAAAAACATCAATATTCATGAACCCTAGCATGAACATAAACCCTATGATTTGGGATATTTGAAATTAAACAAGTTGAGAATCAACTAGATCACTTTCCTATTTCACGACATATCTTGAATTTCATACGAAATGGCTTAAAAATGGAAAACAAATATTTTTCCTAACCATGGTATAGTTCACGGCAATTGAGAAAATGAAGAACAACTTTGGCATGCTTAATGAAACTTCATAATTACCATTAAACCAAGACACCTAACCTTGACATCTTCCCAACCATGACACTTAAACCTTATCATCTCCCATAAGTCAAAGATGAACAAATAAGATCTTAGTTTATCAATTTGCCCTTGCCTTTTTCCAAAACTCACAATCTTGTCACTTTAATCCAATGGTCCCAAAATAAACATGAAATTAAACCCTTAAATCTAATTATTTATATTACTTTCTAGCATTTAAAAATGTAAAAAAATAATATTTTTGGGTTTAATATATCATCTTTCATATTTTCTTAAATTTTCTATTCGATCTGATTTATCGAATTTTTCCTCAACTTCCTTGCTTTATAACTTTTATTACAAATCTCAGATTAAAATTCTGATTCCCACCAAAACGTTTTTCTTGAAATAAAATATTTATTTACGAGGCCAAAATAATTTTTTAAAATTATCATTTTGGTCCTAAACTTTTTGAAGTTTATACTTTGGTCACCAAACTTTCAAAATTTTCATTTTGGTCATAATCTAAATTTTGGGGTATTACAACTCTCCCCCTTAAATAAAATTTATCCTCGAATTTTAAGACGTACCCGATATGAAGAGGTGTGGATACTACTTTCTCATGTCCTCTTCTTTTTCCCAAATAGCTTCCTCGACTTTATTATTTTGCCAAAGTAGTTTGACTAGAGGAATAGTCTTGCTACGTAGTTCTTTGATTTCTCGAGCCAAGATCCATATTTGTTCTTCTTCATAAGTCAAATCTGATCGGATCTCAATTTCCTCTGATTCAATGACATGTGAAGGATCTGATCGATACTTTCTAAGCGTCGACACATGAAAAAAATTGTTTACTTTGTCCAACTCCGGAGGTAATGCTAACTGGTAAGCCATTGGTCTGACAGGCTTTAAGATGTCATAAGGTCCAATGAATCTTGGACTTAGTTTTCCTTTGCGCCCAAAACGTAAAATCTTTTTCCAAGGTGATACTTTAAAAAAACTTTATCGCCTTCATGAAATTCACTCTCTTTTCGCTTCAAGTCTGCATAAGACCTATGTCGATCAGCTGTCATCTTGAGATTTTCTTGAATTATATTCACTTTATCTTCAACCTCTTTCAATAAATTTGGACCAACAAGATTTTGATCTTTTAACTCGAACCAATTTAATGGTGTTCGATATTTTCTCCCATATAAAGCTTCATACGGAGCCATCTTGATGCTCGATTAATAGTTGTTGTAGGTAAATTCTGCTAAAGGAAAATACTTTTCCCATGACCCCTTGAACTCAATCACACATGCCCTCATTGTATCTTCCAATATCTGAATAGTACACTCTGATTGACCATCCGTCTGTGGATGAAATGTCGTATTGAAATTCAATCGAGTACCTAAATCTGTATGTAAATAATTCTAAAATCTTGAAGTGAACCATAGATCCTTGTCGGATATGATTGATACTGGCACTCAATGTAGGAATTATCTCCCTGATATACAACTCTGCATATTTATCCAAATCGTAGTCCATTTGCACCGGAATGAAATGTGCCGATTTAGTTAACCGGTAAACTATCACTCAAATGGAATCCTTCTTATTTGATGTCAAAGGTAGCCCTGTAACAAAATCCATATTGACTCTCTCACTTCCATTGTGGAATAGAAATCGGTTGTAACAATCCCGAAGGCACTTGATGTTCAGCTTTCACTTGTTGATACATCAGACATGTAGCAAAAAACTCAGAAATGGCTTTTTTCATACCCGGCCACCAAAATCGACTCTTTACATCTTGATACATCTTGCTCCCTCCTGGATGAATAGTAAGTGGACTATAATGTGCCTCAGAAAGAATATCTTTTTTCAACTTAGCATCATGAGGAATGCAAATTCTTCCTCGGTAATACAGACAACTATCAGACTTGACTTCAAAGTCTTTAGTCTCACCTTGTTCCACAAGTGAAATCTTTTCCAAGCATCTATCATCTTTCCTCTGTAGCTCTATTATCCGATCTAGAAGCATTGGCTTTATTTTTAACTCAACCAATAGTGCGCCATTTCTTTTCAACAATAGTCGCACATCCATAGCTCGCAAAGCTGCAAAAGTTTTATGTCTAAGTGATTTGCTACAACATTTGCTTTCCCTGGATGATATTCAATAATCAAATCATAATCTTTTAAAAGTTTTATCCATCTTCTTTGTCTCAAGTTTAGTTCTTTTTGAGTCAACATATACTTCAAACTCTTATGATCCGTGTAGATGTGGCATCGCTCACCATACAAATAATGACGCCAAATCTTTAGAGCAAAAACTACCGCTACAAACTCAATATCATGAGTGGGATAATTCCTCTCGTGCGTCTTTAATTGTCGAAAAGAATAGGCTACCACCTTACCTTATTGCATAAGTACACAACCCAAACCATTATGAGATGCATCACTATACACCACATACTCTTCGTCAGATTTCGGTTGTACCAACACTGGTGCTTCAGTTAAAATCTTCTTCAGAGCTTCAAAACTCTATTGACATTTCTCAATCCAAGCAAATGAAACATCCTTTCTCAAACTCTTGGTTAAAGGAGAAGAAATCATCGAAACGTTTTTCATAAACCTTCTATAATAACCAGCAAGTCCCAAAAAACTTTGAACCTCTATAACATTCTTTGGAGGTTTCCAATTAACTATTGCTTGAACTTTCTTTGGATCAATTCTATTGCCTACTGCCGAGACAGCATGACCAAGAAAAGCAACTTATGACTGCCAAAACTCACACTTTGACAATTTGGCATATAACTTTTTATCCTTAAGTATCTCGAGCACAGTATGAAGATGAGCATCATGTTCTATCTTTGTCTTCGACTATACCAGAATGTCATCAATAAATACCACCACAAACTGATCCAAGTAAGGTTGAAATACTTGATTCATCAAATCCATGAAAGTTGCTGGAGCATTTGTCAAACCAAACGACATTACTACAAACTCGTAATGTCCATACCGTGTTTTGAAAGATGTCTTTGGAACATCTTCCTCTTTGATATTTAACAGGTGATATCCCAATCGAAGATCAACCTTACAGAAAATAGTTATTCCCTTAAGCTGATCAAACAAGTCATCAATCCTCGAAAGAGGATACTTGTTCCTGATAGTCACCTTGTGTAACTGTCGATAATCTATGCACAAACGCATTGATCCATCTTTCTTTTTCACGAACAAAACTGGTGCACCCCAAGGTAAAATACTCGGTCTAATGAATCCTCGATCTAGCAGATCTTACAATTGGGCCTTGAATTCCCTTAACTCTGTCGGGGCTATTCGATAAGGAGCCATCGAAATAGGCGTTGTACCTGGAAATACATCAATCCCAAACTCCACCTCTCTATCTGAATGTAATCCAGGTAGCTCATCTGGAAACACCTCTGTGTACTCTTGTACAGTTGGAATGCCTTCCAACTTAACTTTAGTCGTTCTCGTATCCAACATATTTGCTAAAATTACTTGACATAATCGTGACAACAATTTCTTAGTAGTAAAAGATGAAATCACATTGGATAAGTGATTTACCCTTTCTCCAATAGATATTATCTCTGAACCCATTACATCTTTTTAAAACAATCTCTTAAAACGAAAATCTACCCAACCATAGTAGAAAAATAGACAATCCATGCCTAAGATTACCCTGAATTACTCAAAAGGCAATTCTAACAGATTTACAGGAAATTCTACTCCTTGTATCTTTATCGGACATTCATAAGAAATCCGACTAATCTTCGCACTATGGTCAAATAGATTGATTACCACAATATCACTAGAAATAGGTTCTAAAAAGATTCCCTTATCTCTAACCAGTTTTGCACTAATATACAAGTATGTAGATCCGAGATCAACCAATACAAAAACAGGTTCATCAAAGATATAAAAGGTATCTGCTATACTCTCAGGAGCATCTCTATCATCATCAGTCTTGATGTGATAAACTCTTTCAGTAATACTGTCTTCCCAATTAGATGTAACCTCATATGTACCAGGTTTACTTGCTTTGCCACCTTTTCCCCTCTGAGTTCCCGATATTGTCAGATCTGGATGAAGTTCTGCACAATTCCTTCTAAAATGCCCAGCTTTACCACAGTAGAAGCATTTTTTGTCATCAAACCAACATTGAACCGGATGTTTCCTTACACAAATCTTACATTCTGAACTAAGACGGAATCTTGAACCTTGAGTACCCACCGAAGTTACTTATGTCTGCTTGGACTTTCCTCCAACAAATCCTTTTCTGTCCGTAGAAACTGAGGAAGCATAACTTTTCTGCTACTGGCCTTTGTTTCGTTTGGAAAATGGTGCAGAGTAAGAGCTTCCAAACCTTTTGTTTGTCTGAGTCTTCCTCGCCTCTATATCTTCAAGGTCAAATTTTTCCATAGCTTTAACCTTGTTTACCACTTCTTGAAAAATAGTAAAATGATGAGAAACCAGAATTCTCTTATACTAAGAATCCAAGCCAGAAACAAATCTATTAATTCTAGATATCTCAGTCGGAAGAAACTCCGAAGTAAATTGACTCAACTTGTGAAACTCACATTCGTACTCATAAATTGTTCTATTGAACTGCTTCAAGTTCAGGAACTATTACATCATCTCATTGACAAACACGTCCCCAATATTCTTTTCCTTGAATTATCTTAATAAGAATTCCCATGTGATATACTTAGTGGAAACTCGTGTGATGGTTGTATTCCACCACACACTGGCTTGCTCCATCAGTAGAACACAACCCCTTCCAACTTTCCTTGATCATCATAAGGAATCTTGTTCAGTATATTTTTGACATCATTCAACTAAAAGTCAGCAGCCATGTATTTTCATAGGCTTGGGCCCTTAATTTTTCCATCGCGTTCAACTCTAAGAACTTTCTTTCCCCTTCCAGCTGAGAATTCATGTTGAACATTTTATGGCCTAATATGCCTTGTATTCTAGCTCAACTGGGAGGTGACACGCCTTTCCATATACAAGTTTGAAAGGAGACATTCCAAGGGATGTCTTGAAGGTTGTTAGGTATGCTCATAAGGCCTCATCTAGCCTAGGTGGCTAGTGTTTTTTCTTGACTTGACCACATTTTCCAATATTTATTTGATCTCTCGATTGGAGACCTCATCTTGGATATTAGTCTAAGGGTGATATGTTAGAGAAATCTTGTGTCTCACCCCATATCTTTGAAGTGCTCTAGAAATCTTGTTGTCAAAGTAGGTTTCTTTATCACTTATGATGGCTCTCGGGGCTCCATATATTGTGAAGATACTCTTGTGAAGGAACTTCATGACGGTCGTGGAGTCATTCCTTGGTGTAGCCAATTCCTAAACCCATTTGGACACGTAATCCATTGCTATCAAGATATGGAGGTCTCCAAATGATGAAGGAAAAGTTCCCATGAAGTGTAACACCTAAAACCCGTATAATTATACATATATAGATTATAGATGTCACCTAAATTTCTGAAAATATTTTCCCATTCAAAACTGATTTATAATTTATTTTCTCAAAATGGTAACTAATAATATGAAAATATCATATCACATTAAACAATCACATACTATGTAAAACATATATTAATATGGATTTATGCTATCCATATTGAAATAGAGTAAAACAGTTTAGTTTAGTCATTACAAACCAGTTCCAAAATAGTTCAACAGGGCAACTAGGACATTTATAAGTACGTGCCATTAACTAAGTCAAAATCACATCATAGGATGTTTTAATGATATAGAAATATACTCCTCGATGCTTGATGTCGCTCTGAACTCTTTACTCTACAACTACCTTTTTACATACGCGTGAAAATCATAACACGCTAAGTATATACTTAGTGAGGTAATTTAAAATAATAAATAGTGCAATACATATCATGCATGAAATTTAATGTCAAAATCAAAATTCCATAAAATTATGTTACCTGCATATCCAATATTTTACTATGATCATAACAATACGATATAAATATTAACATTTCAACCAATAAATATAGCCCACAAGTAAACTTATGAAGACCCTGGGTATTCGAGTTATATTTGCACCGTAGTGCAAAACCTACACTAAGATTACGCTAGAGTGCTAATTCGGACATGATACATAAGGTCGTATCCATCGCCTACACTAGGTTTACACATAGTGCTAATTCGGACATGATACATAAGGTCGTATCAACCTTCCGCACTTAGTTCCCTTACACACTATAGTGCTAATATAAACCTGTATCTGCTATACTCTATGGCATGCCAACTATACCCTGTCCTTCAACGACTTACTGGGGTATATAGTCTAATTCATTCATCCATGGTATCATATGACCATATATTTAACATTAGGGCAGTTCATACTCAAAATAACATCCATGGTAAAAATATCACATTATCCATGATCAATGCATTATCATTTCACACTATGACATACTAATGTCATATCGAAGTTATAAAAATGAAATATTATCATGCTGATATAAACAAGGTCAACTTATTGCAAGTTTTCCTGATGATGTATAAAATATCTATGTACCATGTCATGCACGTATTGCACTCACTTTTATACAATATATATCCAAAAGATGTGTCTCACTACGATCCACAATAAACCCTTTTATACTTGACTTGTTTCGATCACAAATCAATCACGATCTGTAAAAATCACAAATTCATAACAATACATATGTTATTATTGTACTAACATAAACACATCCCCAAAACAAAATCCATAATATACTTGAAACTCATTTTCTACTAAAATACTTAACACTTAATAATCCCTTTTAACATTGGCACCAATATTTCCAATTTACACAAAATGGTCATTCATCATTTTATCACTTAGATTCTTAATACCAAAATTCCATCATTGACATTGTTATCATTCCAGTGCTTTTACAAAGGCATAATTTCATTTAAGTACCCCAACTATACGAATATTGTACTTAAATCACCAATATTTTCAAACTTTCAAAATAGTTATATTTCACATCTAAACACTCATTTCAATTCCAAAACATTAATTTCCAGCATAGTACATCAATTATTGAACCATTATACAACCATTCACAACCTTTCCAAAATTGCTGAATTGGTCCCCTAACTTTTTAAAATTTATAGAATGGTCCTCAAATTTTTCTACGACTTGTAGAATACTTCCTACATCATTTCCCGCCCTTATATAATTTTTCCATAATTTTTCTCACTCGAATACCTTATGGCCGAACACTTTATCTTTCAAAACTATGTTTTCATGAGTTTGCTTGATTTTGATTCGATTCAAGTGTGAAATCAACTTCCAATCAACCTTACAACATCACTACAATCAAATCCCTAATCAAATCTCATCAAAACACCAAGTTCTACAATTTCTTCAATTGACCGAAAATTATAGAATCATTTCTAAGAAGTTTGAACATGTTTAATCATAATTCATGCTTGAAAATAAATCTACAACCTCAAAACATCAATATTCATCATCAATTTCATCAACCCTAGCATGAACGTAAACCCTAAGATTGGGGATATTTGAAATTAAGCAAGTTGAGCAAACATAATTGGTACCAAAAGATAGTGTTTCTCAACTATATCACTTTCCTATTTCACGACATATCTTGAATTCCATACGAAATTACTTAAAATTGGAAAACAAATATTTTTCCTAACCTTGGTATAGTTCACAACAATGAAAAAGATGAAGAACAACTTTGGCATGAAATTTAGATATTTTTCATGCTAAATTTACCTATAATTTACCATTAATGAATATTAAATTCATTAAATTTGGAAAATACCAATTTACCCTTAATGAAATTTCATAATTACCATTAAACCATGACACCTAGCCTTGTCATCTTCCCAACCATGACACCTAAACCTTATCATCTCCCTTAAGTCAAAGATGAACAAATAAGATCTTAGTTTATCGATTTGCCCTTGTCTTTTTCCAAAAATCACAATCTTGCTACTTTAATCCAACGGTCCCAAAATAAACATGGAATTAAACCCTGAAATCTAATTATTTATATTATTTTACAGCATTTAAAAATATGAAAAATAATATTTTTGGGTTTCATATATCATTCTTTAGATTTTCCTAAATTTTCTATTCAATTCGATTTACCGAATTTTTCCTCAACTTCCATGCTTTATAACTTTTATTACAAATCTTAGATTAAAAATATGATTCCTACCAAAACGTTATTCCTAAAATATTACAAGGCCAAAATCTAACTTTTTAAATTACCATTTTGGTTCCTAAACTTTTTTTATGTTTATACTTTGGTCACCAAACTTTCAAAATTTTCATTTTGGTCACAATCTAAATTTTGAGGTATTACAACTCTCCCCCTTAAATAAATTTCGTCCGCGAATTTTAAGACTTGTCTGTTATGAAGAGGTGTGGATACTTCTTTCTCATGTCCTCCTCTATTTCCCATGTAGCGTCAACGACATTATGATTTTGCCAAAGTGTTTTGACTAGAGGAATCGTCTTGCTACGTAGTTCTTTAATTTCTCGAGCCAAAATCCGTGTTGGTTCTTCTTCATAAGTCAAATCTGGTCAGATATCAATTTCCTTTGATTCAATTACATGTAAAGGATCTGATCGATACTTTCTAAGCATCGACACATGAAAAACACTGTGTACTTTGTCCAACTCTGGAGGTTATGCTAACTGGTAAGTCACCGGCCCGAAACGCTTTAAGATCTCATAAGGTCCAATGAAGCTTGGACTTAGTTTTCCTTTGCGTCCAAAACGCAAAATCTTTTTCCAAGGCGATACTTTAAGAAAAACTTTATCACCTTCATGAAATTGAATCTCTTTTCGCTTCGAGTCTGCATAAGACTTCTGTCGATCAGCTGCCATCTTGATATTTTCTTAAATTATCTTCACGTTATCTTCAACCTCTTTCAATAAATTTGGACCAACAAGATTTCGATCTTTTAACTCGAACCAATTTAATGGTGTTCGATATTTTCTCCCATATAAAGCTTCATACGGAGCCATCTTGATGCTCGATTGATAGTAGTTGTAGGCAAATTCTGCTAAAGGAAAATACTTTTCCCATGACCCCTTGAACTCAATCACACATGCCATCAGCATATCTTCCAATATCTGAATAGTACACTCTGATTGACCATCCTTCTTTGGATGAAATGTCGTGCTGAAATTCAATCGAGTACCCAAAGCTTTATGACAAATAATTCCAAAATCTTAAAGTGAACCTTGGATCCCTGTCGGATATTATTGATATTAGAACTCCATGTAGGAATTATCTCCCTAATATACAACTCTGCCTATTTATCCAAAATGTAGTCCATTCGCAACAGAATGAAATATACTGATTTACTTAACCGGTTAACTATCACTCAAATGGAATCGTTCTTATTTGATGTCAAAGG